GTTAACAAGCCATAAAAAGACACAGAAGGAACTTAAATACATATTGCTAAGTGAGGGCAGCCAGTCTGAGATGGCTACATACTGCATGATTCCAACTATATGACATTCTGGAAAAGGTGAAACTATGGAGACAGTAAAAAGATTAGTGGTTGCTCCAAATTTGAGGGGAAGGGAGGATGAATTGGTGGAGCATAGAAGATTTTTAAGGCAACGAAACTGTATGATAACTGTATGATATGTATGATAACTGTAATGGTGGATACATACATGACATTATGCATTGGTAAAAAACCCATAGAATAGTACAACACAAAGAGTGAACCTTAATGTATAGACTTTAGTTAATAATGTATCCATATCGGTTCCTCAATTGTAACACACATGCCACACAAATAAAGGATGTTAATAATATGAGAAACTGTTTTGAGAGAGTGGGCTTATGGGAATTTTTAGTACTTTCCACTCAATTTTTTTGGAAGCCTAAAACTGCCCTAATAAATAGTCTATTAATGAAAATAATACATCAGATACTCTTTAAAATTCCAAGTGGTTTTGCCTATGGGTAATGGAATTATGATCAATTCTCCTTTTTCCTACCTCTTCTTTCAGTTTTCTGTACTTTGCTAATATGTTCTGCAAAGAAAATACATTATTTTGACAATAGATTAAATTTGGGAAAGGACGTATATGGGGGAGGAGAGTGAAAATACAGAGGTAGAGGTAGGTGTGTCGTCCCCTCCAAATATATGCACTTGCGTACTCACATGCTCCCCTGTGCCAGGGGCAGCTGATTTCGGGAAACACAAGGTGACAGTGGAATGACTGTCAGGATGGTGTGAGCCCAGGTGACTTTTTCACTCTCTTGGGTTCACCTATCCAGTCAGCTGTGCACTAGACGGCACATGGTGTGACTCCTTAGACAAGAATCTGGTCTTATGTACGAGAACAGCTGGACTCCTGGTGCAGAGAGGCTTGTCCTACCAGGCAGCACTGGGGGAAAGAGGCAACATTGCAATATTGAGGCAGTTGCAAGGCTTCTGTGAAATGAGAGGCTTTGACCAATGGCTATTCTCTAATTCTGGGCTTGGTCCGGGAACTGTGGGGTTTACAGAAGTGAATAAGGTATTTTCCTTGCCAAGTAGCCCAGGGTCCAATGCAGAAAGGACAGTGAAGACAGAGTGGGATGTGGAAAAAGAGGCCCTTTAGAGGGGCATTATCCTGAGGCATTTGTGGTGACCCCTACCCCCTCCCACAGTGCACTTCTACCTCCCTTATCCTCCATCTCCTGTCACCTTCTCCCCACCCTCCCTCCCTTATCTCTACCATCTTTCTTCCTCTTCTGTTTTCCTCTGCTCTGCCTTAGCACAGAGCTTTTCAAACTGCTGGGAGCAACTCCTTAATGGGTCATACAAGCAGCTGAGTAGGTCCAAACAATCATTCTAAAAAACTTTTTATTTTGAAAAATATTTAAACATGCATAAAAGTAGAGAGAATAAGTAGCAAAACAACCCATATACCATCTTGATTTAACAATTATGAACATTTCCCAGTATTTATCTCATTTATTCTCCTTGCTAAGGTAGTTTAAATTACAGACAATGATGTTTCATCCCTAAAAACTTCAGCATACGGGGCACCTGGGTGGCTCAGTTGGTTGGGCGACTGCCTTCGGCTCCGGTCATGATCCCAGGGTCCTGGGATCGAGCCCCGCATCGGGCTCCCTGCTCGGTGGGAGGCCTGCTTCTCTCTTTCCTACTCCACCTGCTTGTGTTCCCTCTCTCGCTGTGCCTCTACCTCTCTCTGTCAAATAAATAAATAAAATCTTTAAAAAAAACAAAAAAACAAACAAACAAAAACTTCAGCATACATCTCTAAAAGAATAAGGATATTTTCTTACATAACTGAATACCCTACTTTCCAAATGCAAATTTCCCCAATTTGGCCGTTGTTTTTTAAAAATGAAATTGAATAGAAAGTATTTTAGGGCTTCACATGTAGTAAGGGAAAAGAAATTGTTCATACAACTTTTGTTTTCATTATGTGTATGTATGTCTACTGTGTCATGATGTAAATTTTATATCGTACTGTGGTTTGCAGTCTAAGAAGTTTGAAGAGCCCTGCTCTAGGCCAATGGTGCTCAAAGTGTAGTCCCACGACCAGCAGCATCAGTTTTCCTGGGGACCTGTTAGAAATGCAAATTATTGGGTTCCATTCCACATTACTGAGTCAGATCTCTGGAGGTGGGGACCAGGAATCCATATTAAAAACAAACCAACCAACAAACCTGTATTTTAGGTGATTCTGTTAGTTTGAAAACCATGGATCTAGACTCAACTGGGTGACCGTGTGATGCCCAGGCATCCCTCACTCTCATCCGGGTCACCCAAAGTGGGTCCTTTCTTACTCTTCATTGTGCTGAGAGTTCACCAACAGAGGTGGAATCTACTTTGGCAGTGCTTGGAGGAGGTTTCTCTTTCCAAGCTTAGGCAAAGCTTTACTTGAAGGCAGAGACTGGTCTAGATTCATAAGATTAGTAATATTCAGTTTCATCTTTGTACTAGCAACATCGTAAAATGAGACCAAAGCCCTTAAAGGGTTGTTGTGAGGCTTAAACGATGTCTATGAAATGCCTACCATTGCACCAGGCAGGGTAGTCACTTAGTATATGGTGGTGGCAGTTGCTGTACTTGACACTACCTATCACAACCCTGGGCATATGGCAGATGTTCAACGGATGTGACTGGTGGCTAATTGATTCACTGGAGGAGGCAGGCTATTCTGGCTTGTTCCTTGATTTTGTCAGATATTGGAGCAATGTGATTTGTCAGAGAGAGGAAATAGATCAGAATTAGGAAGGAGAAAAGGAGGCACAGAAAAGAGGAGGATGGAGAGGAAGAAGAGAAGACAATAGGATTGTTCATAGTCACAAGAGCAATGGAGACAATGACCATTTGTTTTCCTGGGAGGGGGGCAAGGGGAGGTATGGGTTATTGCACACTAAGCGATCATATCTTCTTAGTTACAATGACAGGATTTCAGAACTGGAAAAGGAAACTTGGAGACCACAGACCCACCTCCTCATAGCCCAGGTAAAGCAATTGGGGCCCTGGAAGAGCACGTGTTAGAGATGGGGGGACAGAATTGGTTTCTGAGGACAGGTACTGCCTGCTACAACTTGCCATATTCAGCCAATTATTTTCCATGGAAACCTTTTTTTTTTTTTTTTTAAGATTTTATTTATTTGACACAGAGAGAGAGACACACAGAAAGAAAGGGAACACAAGCAGGGGGAGTGGGAGAGGAGAAGCAGGCTTCTCACTGAGCAAGGAGGCCCATGTGGGGCTTGATCCCAGGGCCCTGGGATCATGACCTCAGCTGAAGGCAGATGCTTAAGGACTGAGCCTCCCAGCCGCCCCTCCATGGAGACCTTTGAAGATTGTGAAGGTACAGATGTGGGAAAGGAGAGCAAGACTCTGAGTGTGATTTCTTTTCTATGCCTTTCCTTTTGTCCCTCATCCCTATTTATCAGTTTCTTCTGCCTTCTCTTCCTCTCCCTCCTTTTCATGATTTTCACACATAAGGACCTGTCCAGGAAGCTTGAGGTCACCGGATCTGCAAAGGCCAGAACGCTGCACATCATCTGCCTCCTCGGCAATGCGCTTGTTTCTAGTGATCGAAACTCACAATTGGTTCTGACTGGGCACCAGGGTTCCGACTACTATGATCAAGAAACACTTCATTTGGTTCCTCAACAATACTTGTGACTCTTGAGTAGGCAGAGAAACCACCACGGAAACGCGGTCCAAAGCTGTCTTACTTCTTTGTGTCTTTCACCCTTTTCTGACTCTTCTTCAAGTGGGTGCTATGAAAATGATTGCTCTACTTGTGCAGGCAGAGTGCACAGCCCGCACCTCACAGGACAGAGTAACCCTCCACGGGAATCTCAGGTTGCTTGTGGAGTAACGTCTCTTAACCACAGCCCACGACTGTTACCGAAAGCATTTAAAAATGTCCTCATGCCCCTGGGATGACTGGCTACTATTAGAGATTAGATCCGGAGTGTTGGCGGTCTGGCGTTTTACATGTCAAAGAGGAAAGCTGAGCTTCCTGGCCTTGGCTTAGAAGCTGTGACGGTCCTGGCAGTCTTGCGACCAGATACTCAGGGTCCCCCGTGGTAGAATGGATTGAGGAACAACCTGACCAGATTCGCGTTTGCTTAGGCTTTGGCTGTGGAGTTCTGCGGAATGGGGTTGGCTTTCGCTGCCTGTCAGGTAGTATCTGGGGCCACGTGAGGAAGCTGCGGGACATCGATTGCCGCGGGAGAGCGGCCCAGAGAAGACGCTCCCGGGGCTGACAGGGAGGAGGGCCCCGCGTGGGGCTTGTGCCAGAGCCTTGTTAGGACGGAGCCTTGGCGCGCCTGACAGTGGCAGACGGAGCGGTGGCGCCCTGGAGTAGCTGCACAAAGGAAAAGGCCCACACGGTGGAGATGTGTGTGCGCACATGCGTGCCCAGCCCTATCCGCGCACAGCCGGCGTCCCCGGCTCCGAGTGCGGGTGCGTCCGGTGCACGCTGATTACCGCTGAGACGACCCCTGGGGCAGGGGCGGCGGTGCGAGCAGCCTCCCCGGCAGGATGGCTGCACCTCTCCCAGTCAGCCCCCTCCTCGCCTGGGCCGCTCTGCAGGCACCTGGCGGGCAAGGAAGGGGTCGAGGTAGGCGTTCAGAACCCCGGCACTAGCAGGAGCGCCTAAATCGCTGTCTCCTCTCCCCCAAAGCTGCGAGGACACACCGTGAGTCGACCCTCTCCGTGGGCCGCGCCGAGGGCTCCCCGCAAGGCAAGGGGCGCAGCTTCCCCACCTGGCAACAGACAGCGCTCGGGCGCGTGCGCGCTACCGGGGGCGGGGAGAGGTGGGCGCGGAGGCAGGAGCGCGGGGCGCGCCGCGGGGCGTGAGGTGGACAGCGCGCCGGAGCAGGGGCCTCAGGCCGCCTGCCGCCCCCGCCCTCCGCTCCTCCTCCCTCGGCTCCTCCACCCGTCCGCCCTCCGTGCGCGCAGGCTCCGCGCTTCCTCTGCGTCCTGGCAGAGTATCCTTCTTCCCGACCCTACCGGAAGGCGGCGCCGAAGACCCGACCTACGGGGACCGCAAATCCAGAGACGCACGCGCTCCCTCGGCGGGGGAAGCCCGATGCTCGGTTACAGCGTGATTTGGGGCGACTGCTTTTCTTACCTCCAGAACTGCCATTTCCCTCTCTCTCAAAGCCAGACATTACGTTGGGAAAGCTGCTGGATTTTAATCTCTAAGACAAGTCCCTGAAGGGCGTGGCTGGCCGAGCGGCCCAGGAAAGTTGGCCTGGGCTGGGAGTGACTCGTTTTGTGCCTGAAGAGAGCGAGGAAGAATGTGAGGGCAGCGCATCCTCGGGAGGAGATGTCTTTGAAATACCATCCATAACAGCAGTAGAAACACTTACGTGTTGCTTTGTTTTGTTTACATCCTGAGTGGCTTTTCGGTGAAATGCTATTTTGGTTAAAGGAAGAAATGGCCCCCGAGGAGCTCAGCCGGCGACTGGCCACAGTGATCACTCATATCGGTAAATGGAGCTTTTTCTTTGCCCCCTTGCGTTTTATTAATGGAGGTGGGGGCGTAGTCTCTGGGGCCGGTCTCCTCCCGGCGCTCGCCCGCAGCCCCCCGGCAGCGCCCTGCGTGGGAAGGCGGTGGGGTGTGGGCCGGGCGTCTCGGCCTCGCTGCTGCTGGGGGCGGCCAGTGCCAGGCACCCCTGAGATCCTCCACGCCCGGCGGGGCCGCGGCAGGCGGCGGGGGCGGGGGAGGCAGGTGCCTTCACCAGGCAGGTGCCTTCACCAGGCGGGTGCCTAGTCCCCTGAGGGCTGCTGGGTTGTTAGGATCCGTTACCCGCGCTGACCCGGCTGGGGTGGGCAGTTGTGTCGCGGTTTACGACATAAAGAGAAAGGAGAGGGAACTTGAACGAATGCGGGTGCTTTCCAGCAGAAACTACTGCCAACCGCGGAGGCTGGTTCACAAGCGAGCGTAGTGAAACGCAGGTTGCGGTAGAGGGTACGCAGCCTGGCGCCCCAGCCCGTTGGAAGTACCGCCTGGAGGTGTCAGCACACTCGGGGTGAACCCCGATGACAAGCCAGTGCAAGCTTCAGGAGACTGAGCAATGTTAATCCTCTTCCACAGAGTTAAAAGAGGGCAGCAGAACACGCATGCCTTGCTCCTGAAATAGGGGTTGTGGTGGAAAGACAGGCCCTGTTTAGTAAAGAGGGCATTGAGACAGGGGTACATTGAGTCCTTTTTAGCATTTTCTTCCCCCACCCCTTCCCTGGACCTCCCCAAATAAAAACGTATTCAGGTAGAGATTCTTTGGATGCAGATGACTAGAATTATCGGGGTAATTTTCAGTGTTGGTCACTTAACGTTGAGACCTTTCCATAATGCAAATTAGTTCTAAAGTCAGGAAGTTTTTACTTCAGTGTTCTGCCCATTTGCTAAAACTGCCTTCTTAGTGTTTATATATTACATATTGTTTCAATTAATGGGTTCCATTGCTCTTTGAGCACCCTAGTCCAATGTATTTAGTGCAATAATGATATACATCTTGAATGATACACCTGTGGGGATATATTTTGTGAAGATGATTTATCTGGAAAGACCCAGTGTTGATGATTCATTTAAAAAAATGTTTCTGGTGCCAGGGTGGCTGCTGAACTGGTTTTTCTTTGAGACAAAAGGTCAGTAGAATCCTACCAGGGAAGGCTGAATGTGAAATATTGCTGGAGGCAGTATGAAACAAACAGAATTTGGAGTTTGAAATATTGACTGCTGAAATGACTGTGCTTGAAATTGTGCATATGCTTGAAGTTGTGGTGTAGGTAAAGAGCTGTGGACTGGGGGTATGACTGCCATCATCTACTTTGTTCTTTGCCCTAGTACATCATAGGCACCATCAATGTTCTTCTCTTCCTCTTGCACCCACCTTCTTGTGGAAGTCTGTTCTAGTAGGGTTGAAGGCTAATCCTGACATGTTGCTTTAGAAAAGAGTTTATGTTCTCACCACCTGGGGCCACCTCTCTGCTTTCTCCTTTGCAGTGCCAAAAGCAAAACTCAGAAGCAGAACCCAACTGCCTGAATGTTGATGACTCTTGGCACTTGGGACACCCTCAAGGTCTTCCCACTGGTGGTAGCAGGTTATAAAAGCACAGGAGAGGGGGGTATCGCTGCCAGCAAGTGTTCCTCCTAGCCTTGGAGAGGGCCTCTCACTGATGGCTTCTATTTCCAGAGTGTCTGCAGGTTGTGACTGAGCTTGTTAGCCGGGGCATCTGATCTGCTTTCAACAGTTGCAATACTAAAGCTTTAGTCGTTCAGTTCACTGCTGGTCTTCAGACCAGGATTCTACATCATTTGACCTTGAAAAAACCCGTGGAGTTAACAAACCTATCCAAAGGTACAGATTTCAAGCAAGAAACTAGAAATATGCTTCCAAGAAGAAGCATAAGTGTTTAACCATTTAGAGATATTGGCCAAATTTATTGAGTGCTAGGCCTTTCCACTTATGCCTTTGAATCTTTACAGCTCTGGAGAGTGGTTACTCTCATTTTGAAAGATTTCAAAACTAAGAATTTAAAAAACGAGTTCAGTAATTTGCTTAAAGCCATAGTGTTACTAAGAGGTAGTGTCAGGATCTGTCAGATCTGATTTCAAAGTTTATGTTCTATTATATCAAGGCAGAAATTTTTACTGCTGCTTGAAAATAATTTTTAAGAAACTGGGTATTTATGTTAATTTGGTACTGGGGAATGATTTCTGCCTTGCCACCCCATTGTCTGCTCCCTGAGGGCGGGGAGATGTCTGATTCATCTTTATATCCTTAGGTACTTGGCTCAGTACCTGGCACTGTTCATGAAAAACCTCTTTCTTTTGTTTGCTCTGTCTGAGCGGTTGGAAAGCGTCCTGGTTTGTTCCACCCACCTGCTAGCCTCCTTGGGTCTCACTTTCTTCTGTCTAGGTCCCATTTGTGGTTACTCTCACCAGCAAGTCTCTGGCCTGCCTGTCTGAATCTCCCCTCAAAACTGGCATCCCCACGAGCCCTTTGTGGAATGGGCCAGGCCAGGACTAGCCTCCCTCCCTTTTCTGAACACCTGTATTAGTTGGTATCCATCTCATGTGTGTTTTTGAGCATTTGATTGCAGTCTAGCTTGGATTTTTCTCTTTGTTTCAAATACTGATATATATTTTAGTTGTTGGTTGAACATGTTGCAAAGTCTTTTCTAATAACATAGGCATGTCTTACTTAAGGGTAGAAATCCCAACTAAGATTGCTTTATGGCCTTGTAGGCTAAATTAAACCCATTATAGGAGATCAAGAATCACATGTTTAATTGAATGGAAAGAACGTCTATTCCCTGAATTTCCTCATCTCTAATGTAGAGTGATAATTATTTCAGTCCCTCTGTTTATTTTACAAGTTGGAATGATCCTATATAGTGAAAGTGGTTAAACAGAAATCCTTTGAGGACTATAGCAAAAGAGACTCCATGAGTATAGAATGACTTCAATTGTTTGCTTTATGGACTAGCAGGAGAAGCATGAAAAAGAGTGTTTTATTGCCTCTCCAGTCTACTCAAGAGGAATATTCTACCAGTATTCCCCTAGTACTTACTAGAAACTGCAGCATGAATGGGGCAAGCTTGCTCTGCAGGGCACAGGTTGGAAAAAGGGTGCCTGCAGGATGAAGCAGTGGGGCCAGCATGGCAGAGGAAGTGAGGCAGGGGTGGCAGAGGTTATGAGAAGGCCTCTGGACTCCGGGCCTTCACTGTGGCAGCGGCAGGAATTGTGAACGGCAGCCTTGAGTGAGTGTGGAATAATCTATCCTCCGGCTGGGAATCAGCCACTGTCCTTGCTTCTTTCTTTGGAATGAGCCTGGGCTGTCCAGAGATGCTAGAGAGAAATTCAAAGCTGCTGAAGAGCATGCCTCTCATGCAGTGCACTTTGGAGATGGTGAAGCCATTGGGTAGTGAGGGGCTACTGTTCCACATTTTATCATTACTGTAGAGATGGAATAAATTCACATGATACACCGGATCTGGGCTGTGTTTGCAAGTGCTTTAAAATAATTTGAACCAGATTTTTTGGCAGATATTCTTTGGGAGAGTTTTCTATGCCTCCCCCAGAAGTAGGGGTTTTTGTTTTTTTTTAAATCTTCTCCAAGCTGCAGTGGGTCTTCATCTGTGCCCTGGAGTCCAGTTAAAGGGTTGGCTGCCTCCCCCCAGCATCTGAGGCTTTTTCCATAGGGAGAAATGTGCTTTTCCTGGGCATCTCCCCTCCTCCAGGTTTGCCCCCCTGACAGAGGCTCTCTCCAGACTGCCACCCTGTACCCAGTCTAGGGAGAAGAGCCTGCAGGGAGCTGGGAGCTCCCCTTGCATCCTGGCTCTTGTTAGCCTATACTTAAACCTTTCACAATTCGTTTAAAACTTGTAGGTGATTTCTTTTTATTTGTTTATATAGGTTCTGGACAGGTTATAATTTTGTAGTTTATCTGGCTTTTTCTTGTTGTTAGGGTGAGAGTGAGCCTCTTTTCCAACATTCTGGGTTCCAGGGGAAAGCAGAATGTCTCCTTGGCTTTTCACCTTGTGTATATTTCACAGGGAAAATGTGCTTCATTCACATTTTTTCTTTCTTTCATCACAGTGTTGTTACAGGCAAGCTACTAGGAACTTTGAAACTATATTAGTAAACTGGGTCTCAAAATGTTTTCTTTGTGTTTTCCCAGGTGTTGGGGATCTTGAATGTTAAAAAACTGCAGTTCATTTTTAAGAGTGCTCGAAAATGCTTCCTCCCATCTATTATCCAGGAACCAACTAAGCACAGGGATCTCTCCTGTCAGGGAGTCATGGGTGTTAGGCACAGTTATTGGATGCCTGGCCCCCTAACAGGGCCTCCCTTGGCCAGGGGCCTACATTTGTGCTATAAAGGCCCATCTGTGTTAATTATTTTTAAAAAAATGCTTCAAGTAGTCTGAAATTTCTGCTGAATTAATAATTAATGTAGCTAATGTAAAAATCTCTGCCAGAATAGTTGAAATCATCGAGGATCAAAATGGAAATGGTCCTGCTTTTCTTGGAATTTTTCCTGAAGGGTAAGGCTGTTGTCATGTCTGTTTCCCTTTAGATGTTAGTGAGTATGGCCCAGCCAGAGAGCCTCTGAGCCTAGTCTGGCACCGTGGATTAGCTCTTCCCAAATGGGTATAGGTTCTCTTTCTGTTTATTTTAAGAGATAGGAATTGATTGATTTTAATGAATCTAAAAAGGAAGACTATCTCATTATCATAGGCTTATTGAATTCAAGCACTTATTTCTTACTAGCGGGCAATAATGATTATAATAAACTTTAGAGATTTTGGAATTTAACACATTGATGTTACTAAAGATGTATATATTTAATTCAAATTAGCAGAGGACAAAATAGTTTGTTTTGTAGCATCCTGCTAGTGGTGGCAAGGCCAGGCTTTGAACTCAGGCAGATATGGCTCCAGAATTTGAGCTCCTGAGCACTATTACTCGAATGTTCCATACT